CGACGACGGTTGCGGGGTTAGGATGGCTCCCGCGGGTTGGTAACATGACTTGGGGCTTACAGGGCCTACAGGGAGAGGCCCGCGTTCGGAACTTCCTCGCAATTCGCTCACAGACGATGCTCCAGCTCGAGACTTTCTCAATCTCAGTTTGTAGTGATGAATGAATGCATGGGTCCATGATTTAGTGCGCGAATTGACTGTATGAATGTGCGGCCGACTGATGGTGACAAGGATGGTGATGGTTGTGATGATGATGAGGATATTGATGATGATGGTGATGATTATAATGACGGTGGAGATGACGGTGATGATGATGATGATGATGAGAAAGATGCGATGATGATGGTGATGATGTTGATGCTGCTGATAATGATTATTTCGATGAGGGCGATTATAGTGATGATAATGATGATGACGACGGTGACGTGGTTGCTGTTGCTGCTGTTGCGGCTGCTGGTCATGATGATCGTGGTGGTTATGATAATGATGATGGTAATGGTGATGATGCTGATGTTGATGATAGTGATGATGATGCCGATGCTGATGATGAGAAAGATGCGATGATGATGGTGATGACGCTGATGCTGATGATGATTATGAAGTTGACGATGCTGATCAATTTGATGACGAGTATGCTGAGGATGATGCTGATGCTGATTACGAGGATGCGGATGATGATGACTATGATGACGATGAGGATGCCGATGCTGATGCTGATGCAGATGCAGATGTTGCTGCTGCTGATTGTGATGGTGATCGGATGGTGATGATTGTGATGATGCTGATGATGACGATGATACTAGTGGTAATATTGATGATAGTGATGATGCTGATGATGATGATGATGCTTATGATAATGACTATGATGATGATGATGATGATGATGATGATGATGATGATGATGATGATGATGATGATGATGATGATGATGATGATGATGATGACTATGATGATGTTGATGACGCTCATTCGCATTATAATGATGTTAAGGGGGATAGGTCCTTGCTTGATGAGTGCGCAGGGAAAGCATAACAAACACCGTGGAAGCGGGGAATCATACCGGCGGGTGTCAGGGATATCCGGTCCTCGGGATCTTGCGGTGTTCTTAGAACCTTTCGCATCGTGATACAATCGCGAGCGAGTTGTCCTTGTATGATACAAATTTTGGGTTCCTCGCTGTGCCCCCGGCTGCTGGGAATGAGTTGAGACCTCTCGGGGTTGACGTTTTGAGAAAGTCATAACATCGGGATCCGTAGCCATTTTGGCTCAAGTCGGTTGGGCCCCGGACTCCGACTAGGTCTGTTGTCAAGCGATCGTTTTCTCGAGCCGCATCCGAAGAGGCAGCCCTTCTTCCTCGACCTCGCATGACGTGCGTGTCAGTCGTCCTACTGCTCCTGGCGAGTGCTGCCGCAGAGACGCCACGAGCGATCGGGTGCACGCTGGAGGAGGAAGACGACGGAATCGGACTGCTGCAGAGTAACAGCCGGAACGTCCACGAGCAGACCCCAGACAAGGCTGACCGCGTAGTGAACGGCAGCGCAGTCGTGGACGCGACGCCGAACGACACAAACGCGGGGTTGCTGGCAAACCTCGCAGAGCAGCTTGCGGCAGACCGAGACAGGGGAGGGGCTAGCTACAACGGAACGTGCACGGCAAACTCTACGATGAGTATCGCCACGTGTTCTCAGTTGGCACCCGAGTGGTGCTGGGCCACGACCGCCGCTGTGATTGCGGGCTTCTTCCAGCCGACGCAAGAAAAAGCGGACCAGGACAATTGCAAAGCCATGTCTTGCCGAGCGGTTGGCAACAAGTTCAGCCAGTTCCATCCCGCTTATTGTTGTGGTGCCTCCAACGAGGATTGTTACGGGAACAACGCTGCGGCTGGCCAGGATGATATCGTCGAAGCCATATCGTTCTTGTCGCAGCAAGACTACATCGGCTTCGATGGGTGGCCCTTGGAGCAGGAGGCCCTCGACGCAGCCGTGAGCATGGGGTACCCAATCGCTTTCGCCGTCTTCTGGCTCGGCGGCGGCGGCCACGTTCTGACGATTGGCGGGTGCGCGGGCGATGGTAAGTATTATGTTTACGACCCATTGACCAAAAGAGGCTTGTGGCAGACTCTGACCTACGCGCAGATTCTCAATTATGACCCCGGCACGCTCGAGGACAGCGCCAGATACACAGTGGTACAAGAGCAGCAGACCAATCAGACGCTCGACGGCTTGCTCCAAGAGGAGAACGAGTCGAACGAGGTCATCACAGGTGGGTTATGGAGCTTCACGGCGGTGTTGAAGACCGAGGCAACGTGGCAGTATGCTCAGTGGTGGGCCCAGCAGCCGGGGCGCACGGTCTTCGCCAGGACAACGGGACCTGTCGAATTGAGTGCCTTTCTGTAGTAAGTGTTGCGAGCAGAGGGTGGAGGTGGGGGTGGGGGTGGTGGAGGGGTGGGGGAGGTGGAGGAGGAGGAGGGCCGCCTTCTATCGATGATGAGTTTGAGTTCGCAAATATTTTGTTAACGGCCGTATTCGAATGATCGGCCAGAACGCGCGATCCCTGGCCATATTTTGACGTTGGGTGCCCGTTTTGAACCAGCTGCGACCCCACGTTTCCTCACCTCCTCTCCCTCCTCCTCCTCCTCCTCCTCCTCCTCCTCCTTCTCCTTCTCCTCCTCCATTTGTCCTCCTCATCCTCCCAAGGCAGGTGCGCCAGAGTCGGTCAGCCTCTGCGCAGTCAGCTTTGATGTTTAAGGCGATGCATTAGAAACACCCCTGGTGCTTTGACAGAAGGATGTCGGGACATCATGTATGACAGACCAGGGACAGGCACCACGAGTGGTTTCTGCTACTCGTTTGCTTGAGGCGAGGGGCGCGCGGGGCGCTTCCGAAGAGGAGTTGTGCCCAGCGCGCCCTGGTGCAGCGGCGGTTGGGGAGAGTCAGCGTGCGACGACATACATATAGGAAAAAAAGTCATGACATCGGGAGTTTGGGTTCGCAATCCAGGAACCGGGTCATGAGGAAAAGGGGTCCCGAGGTGATTCGCCGTCTTTGGCGGATGAACAATTCAAGGTGAAGGGCCTGTTCAAGGGGCGGCCACGGGACAGAGTGCTTCGGTAGCCAATCCTGGGAGCCTGGTGCGTCAGCATAGTCCCGTGTCTAGAGTGCGCTGGCGTGCGATAGCGTCTGGCAGTCGATGCAAACGCGCCGAATCAGCATCGATTTTGCGCCGATTTGCGTCGGCTAGCATCGGTTAGCGTCGTTAGCGACGACGTGCAAGAACCAGCGAGATCGCACGGGAGGCCCCCGTGAGCTGCCACAGAAGAGTTCCGGGCCGGGCGAGCGCAAACGTGCCGCGCGTTCGAGGCAGGCCCAGCGGGGCGGAGAACGCGCGGCCGGCGGGCGCGCCAGAAGAGCGCGGCCCCAACTCTCGAAAACTGAATTACACCAGAGGAAAATCCCAGTCAGTGGATGGCTTGATCAATGATAAATAATTGAGTGAGATGGATAGTGAGACCGATCACGAGATCGATGGTGAGCTCGATCGTGGGATCCCGAAATCGGCCCAGAAGTAGCAGCCGTGAACCTGGGAACCTGGAGCCGGGAACCCGGGAACCCAGCCGGCTATCGAAATCGGCCGGGGACTTTCGCCAAATCTTTCAATATCCGCTAGGTCTCCTTCAGAGCAAGCACTGCTTGCGGAAAAACGGATCATGGATATTGGAGCCGGCTGGGGGTCGTAGGTGGCCCGGCATCGGTTCCGGCGATCAGGAAGGGGGGGCAGGCTCCAGGTGCTCGGTTCGGACAGGTCTTTTGCTCTTTTCGGCTGCTGTTTTCAGGGCCCCGGACAGTCAGAAGCGGATCCAGGGTGGAAATTGCACTCCATGAGCCCCGAGAGGGTTCTGGCTCCAGGGACTGATTTTGAGCGAATTTGTTTGGCTTCATCCCCCTTGCTCCTGACCGATGTTCTGGGGCCTCAACTAACAAGTTCGGATCCCCTGGCCACCTCCAACATGACCGTAAGTTTGTCGGAGATCCCCTGGCCACCTCCAACATGACCAACATGGCGCTGGGCCCCTCCCGCGGCGCCTTGGCGCGCTCTGCGCGCCAGGGAGGAGGGCCCAGCGCCAAGCCAGGGAGGCCGCGCGGGCCTCCGACAACCTGTGGCGGTGCCGTGTGCTGTTGCCCTGCGCTCCGCGTGCGTGAGAGAGCGTGCGCTGCTGTGGCTGGTGGTTGAGAGGATGATCCCGAACTGAAGCGGAGGCCCCCAGACATGGGGCATCGTTGTCGTGCGCGAGGCGACGTGGTGCGGGAGCGGGAGTGATCGAGCCTTGGCCAGGTCGTGCAGCAGCGAGTCTCGTGGGCCCTGGCCTGCGCGGATTTGTCCCGCGGTTGTCCCGTGGTTGTCCCGTGGTTGTCCTTTGGCGTGCCCGGGATTGTCCCACGGTTGTCCATGGTTGTCCTAGGGGATTGTCCCACGGTGGTCATGTGATTTTTTTTTGGCTTGCCCGGGATTGTCCCCGTCACAGTTGTCCATGGTTGTTTTAGGGGATTGCCCCGCGGTTGTCACGTGGTTGTCCCGGGGTTGTCCCGTTGTTTTCCCGCGGTTACCCCTTGGTTGTCCTGAGATTGTCCTGTGGTCGCTTTGGTTGTCCCGTGGTTGTCCCGCGGTTGTCCCGTGGTTGTCTCTTGTCCTTTGGCTGTCCTTCGGCGTGTTTGGGATTGTCCCGTGCCCTCTTGGCCCGTCTTGAGGCCCTCTTGGCTCCGAAAAAGTCACGCGACAAGCCGGGACAAGACGCGAGAGGCCCCGAAAGATTTGTGAATTCGGGTCCGGACCCTCAAAGAGTCCTCAGGATTGAGGGCTGAGGCTGCATGGACTAGGCAAAGGTCCTGAGGACACGGCCACTCCGTGGCAAGAGGCACGGTGGCGGATAATGCATATCCTTATCAGCACATACCAGCAGTAAAATCAGTTGGACTAGTAGACGCGGAGGGGCCGCGTGCGAGGCGCTGAGCGGAGAGACGAACGACCCCTTGCGGAAGCTGCAGAGCGAGCTCGAAGCGGTGAGGCCAGACCCGCCCGCCCGCGCGGCTGGACCCTGCTGGTGGGGACTGGGGCTGTGAGGGTGTTCGGCATTCGGGGCGACAAAAATGGGTGCGGAAACACTGGGTACAAGAATTTGCTCTTTATTCGTGGAGCCCGTCACGTGCAAGAGATTGTTCTTTATTCGTGGAACCCGTCACGTCTTAAGACCTCCTGGGGCCTCTGGAGAACTCTACAGACCGCGGCCGTCGTCGTCGTCGTCGTCGTCGTTGTGATCGTGATCGTGATCGTGATCGTGATCGTCGTAGTCGTCCTCGCCATCCTTGTCGTCCTCGTCGTCCTCGTCATCCTCGTCGTCGTTCTCGTCGCCGTCGTCGTCGTCGTCGTCTTCGAAGGCATCGGAGTTCTTCCAGACGCCTCCAGAGGCCTGTTGAGACCTCCAGTGGCCCCTGGAGACCCTTTCAGAGGCGGCCGTCGTCCTCGTCCTTGTCTTCGTCCTCGTCCTCGTCGTCGTCGTCGTCCTCGTCGTCCTCGTCGTCGTCGTCCTCGTCGTCCTCGTCGTCGTCGTCGTCGTCGTCGTGCGCCCGGGGCTCCCCCGGGGGGGCCCGACCACGTTGCCGTTACCCCCCCTCCCACGCGGGCCAGACCCCCCCCCCCATAACGGACGATGTGGAATGAAGTAGAACATGTCGGCAACGCGCAGAGGGGGGGTAAGGGGGAGGGGGGAAGGCTTCTTAGAAGCACCCCTGCTTCTCAGAAGGCGCGGGCCTCCTCTCTAGACGGAGGGCCGAGGCCCTCTGAGGAGCAGGGTGTTTCTAGGAAGCCTTCCCCCCTCCCCCTACCCCCTTTTGCGCGCCGCCAAGAATGATCGACAGCAGATTCGCCAATTCTGAGCAGGCTTCGCTGTCGGCGTCGCCACGGTCTTTGTCCCATTGAGGCATAAGCTCGCCCGCCCATCAGCGGCCGCTCTTGGACAACACATCTGTTGTTGGGCGGCGTGCCCATTGTTCCGCACCCCTTTCGGGCATCCATCCAAGCAATTCGACATTCGATATCTTGCGAGACCCTGTCGGCTGGGGGTTGGAGATACGAGTGCGTTCGGTGTTCGAGATCCTGTGCGCGCTTTCGCATGTTCTCCCTGAGGCTTTCCAGCATCGGGATGCCTCCCAGCAGCTGCGCCTCGGCGAGGGCGTGCCGTGGGTGCCCGGCTCGCCCCGAGCGGCCGTTGGAGGCCCTGTCTTTGACCCGGAAGCCTCTGTCCAGTCGGGGCGCCGAGGAAGGAACCCTTTTCGTTGGGGAGGGGCTCGGTGTTCCTTAGTTGTTTTGCAATTCGCCTTTGGTTCTACTTAGGGTGGGAAATCGAAGTTCAACTTATGGGAAAAAGGGGCCTCGTTCCTTATTTAGGGTTCCTCAGGGCAACGCCCCGACGGTACTTCGAGAGTCGATGGGCTCCTGCTTTGCCCTGCGACCCTAATTACCTGGGACCCACTTCGCTCCACCTGTCTTCCGCTTCGTGCTTCTGCCGGCCGCTTCCGAGCGGTCCGCGGGAGTGAGCATGCATGGGCCCGCGGGCCGCATGCCAGTTCCGGGTTCGGTGGTGCTTCATCTGGAGCACGTTCGCTTCGGAGAAGAGGGGGGGAGATGACGAGGGCGAGGGCGGCGAGCAGGACGGGGACGAGGACGAGGACGAGGAGGAGGAGGAGGAGGAGGTCCGCAGTGGTTTCGGTGGGGACATTTGGGTTCCGGTTGGTTGGCAGGAGAGCGTTGAGAGGTCCTGGCAGGCTCTGGGGGGTCGGGAGGGCCCTCCGCCGTCTCGCCCCTCTCTCGGGGGGGGGGGGGGTCCTCGGAGCGGAGGGGAGGGGGGGTGAGAGGGGCGTGGGGGAACGGGAGTGGTCAGGCAGGCCTAGGATGAGGATACGTCATTCCAGCGCGTCCCGGAACGCCATCAGAGCGTTTTGGGTCTCCTCCTCCTCCTCCTCCTTCTCGTGCTCCTCTCTCTCTCTCTGTATTTCGCGTCCGCCTCCTCTTCCTCCTCCTCCGTCCTTCTTCTCCTCGTCCTGCCTCATCCTTCTTCTCGTCGTCCGCCTCCTCCCCATCCTCTTTTCCCCTCCCCCTCCTCGCCCTCCCCTCCTCTTCTCCCCACCCGCCTCGCCACGCGGCGGTGGATGAGGAGGAGGCAGAGGCAGGATGAGCCAGACCCCCGACGTCGTTTTGTACTGCAACATGCACCACCTGAGCTCTGGTCACCTCCTCCAGGACCGGCTCTTCATCCCGAGCCGCCTTTCCACGATCCCAGGTCCTGGTGAGAGGGCCTCCAGGGGCCGAAAGATGTCAACAGCAACATCAGCAACAACAACAACAACGACAACAATTACAACAACATCAACAACAACAATAGCAACACCAACACCAACAACAACAACAACAACAACACCACCAACGACAACAACACCACCACCAACAACACCAACAATACCTATACGACCACCTTTCGGGTGATAAGGGGGTTCGGGGGGGGAGGAACCAACGTCTCACTCGATCGGTCTCACTATCGATCTCACTATTGATCTCAGTATCGGTCTCGCTCGATCGATCTCCCTCGATCGATCTCACAATCGATCTCACTCGATCTATCTCACAATTGATCTGACTATCGATCTCACAATCGATCTCAGAATCGATCTCACAATCGATATCACATTCGGTCTCACTATCGATCTCACTATCGATATCACAACCGCTCTCACAATCAACGCCATCATCATCAACAACAACATCAACATCAACATCATCATCACCAACATCATCATCATCATCAGCATCATCATCATCATCAACGTCGTCATCATCAGCACAATCATCATCACCATCATGGCCATCATCACCATCAGCAACCGCACAATCGATCTCACATTCGGTTTCAATTTCGGACTGTAATCATCGGGGCACCATCATCATCAACATCGTCATCATCACCATCATCAACATCATCATCAGCATCATCGTCATCGGGACACCATCATCATCAACATCATCAACGTCTTCATCATCATCACCACCATCATCATCACCATCATCACCATCATCACCATCATCATCTCACAATCGATCTGACTATCGATCTCACAATCGATCTCACTATCGATCTCACAATCGATCTCACATTCGGTCTCACTATCGATATCACAATCGATCTCACAATCGACGTCATCATCACATCATCATCATCATCATCATCATCATCATCATCATCATCATCACATCAACATCATCATCATCATCATCGCCATCATCATCATCACCATCATCATCATCATCACCATCATCATCACAATCATCATCATCGTAATCATCACCAACATCATCATCGGGACACCGACGGGACACCGACGGGACACCGGCGGGGCACCGGCGGGGACACCGCGCGCCACCGGCCGCCCGGAAGAGACACATTTGGTCCGGCCGCGCCTCAGCCACAGGGACACCGACGGGACACCAGCGGGACACCGGCGGGACACCGCGCGCCACCGGCCACCGGCCCGCCGGAAGAGACACATTTGGTCCGGCCGCGCCTCAGCCACAGGAGACTTTCTCTCGCCCGCCCACGCAGCTTCGCCTCGCCCGCACGCACGGCACGCACGAACACGAAACCGAAATCGATTTCCCGGTAGGGGGGCTCTCCGTTCCACTTCGATCTCACCCCCTCACCTCCGAACAACAACCAACACAACAACACATACAGCAACGGCAACAGCAGCACCGCCAACAACATCTACACCAGCAACACCAATAATAACAACAACAACAACAGCAACAGCAACAGCAGCAACAGCAACAACAACAGCACCAACACCCACAATAACAACAACAACAACCGCAGCAACAACAACACGCCCAACACCACCAACAACAACAACAACAACAACAACAACAACCGCAACAACAATACCACCACCACCAACAACAACAACACCAACAGCAGCAGCAACACTCACACCAACAATACGCTTCGTGTTTGTTTTTTGTGCACGGTGCCGGGGCGGTTTGGGAAGAACGAGGACGAGCAGCACGGGGCGAGTCTGCGACCACCTGCAAGCCATACCCCTGCGGGTCCCCGATCGACGCCCGGGTACCGTATCGGACGCCACCGCCGGGGTGCACGCGGCCGAGGAGATCCCCATCCAGGTCCTGCGCCCAGGGCAGCGAGACGCCCTGCCTGCAGAGGCAGGGATCACAGCGTCAAACAGGGCTAGGATCGGGATAAATCGCTCCAGAGCGTTCCGGAGCGCTCTCAGAGCGTTCCGGAACGCTCTGGAGCGGCCGCCGCGCCCAATACATCCTCGAAACCCGCCGATTCTCAGAGATTTCGAGTTATCCCGATCCGATTGTGTCCCGATCTTCGCGTCGTTTTACAGCGGGGTCCCGGGGGGTCGCAGCGCCCCAAACCCCTGGGAAGTGGGCGGTGGGAGCAAGCTCGCTCTGCTGGCTCGCCGCCGTCGCCGTCGCCGTCGAGGCCGCCGGGGCCGCAGCCAGCGGCCCGGACGATGGGTAATTAGTCTTCAAATTCGGGGGCGGAAAAGAGGGGGGTGATGACTAGGGGGGGGGGATAGATATTTCCCCAGATTTCATGGCGCCTCTTCTTATTTCATTACGCCCCTGACCCCCCCGCTGGGCCGCGCACATGCCGCCGGTCATGATTTGCACTCCCCCCTCTTGGACACCCCCCTCTTGGCCGCTCCCGAAAGAATCGGAGGTTGACAGACCTCCTACCCTGACACGTCGATGAGTGAATTGGCCGCTCTCGGCTCGCGAGAGGGCGTCGCGGCCGCCATGTTTGAGGGTCCAGGTCCGTCGGTTTCGGTCCCAGGCCGTTTTCACTAAGGGGAGGTTTACTGCAGGGAGGTCTGTCCACCGCCGAAAGAAGGGAGGGGAAAGACAGATGCCCTCCTCGGGCCCCAGAGGCCCCCTCGGGGGCCCCGAAGGGCCCCCTTTGCAGGGGCCCTGGGGGGCCCCTCTTCCTGCGGTCCTCGCTGCTCCCCCCCCCCATCTCTCGCACCCCCAATACCTCGAGCCCAAGCATCCGCGGCGACCGAGGGGGGGCAATGCGAGGAGGGGCGGGCCTTCCCAGGAGTCTCAGAAGTCCACACCGGCCTTCCGAGAAGTGTTCTAAGCCCTCCCTGGAGACAGACAACACTTCTCAGAAGGCGCGAGGGCCTTTTGAGAAGGCCTTCTGAGAAGTCCCTCGCCTCCTCTTCCTCCTCTTCTTCCTTTTCCTCCTCCTCCTCCTCCTTCTTCTGAGGAGTCCCGCCGCCTTCTGAGAAGGCCTTCTCCTTTTCACTTCTCCCCCCTCGCTGGCTGCCGAGACGGGCCACGCCTCGCGTGCAGTCGAGCAAGTGGGGGGGCGCGACGCCCTCGGATGCCTCCTGGGTGGGGTCTGCGCAGGTGTGCTCGGAGGATGGCGCCGCATCGGCGATGCATCGGCGATGCCCTGGCGATGCAGGAGGAGGAGGAGGAGGAGGCGGAGGAGGAGGCGGAAGATGATGAGGAGGAAGCGGATGCGGAGGAGGAGTCGGAGGATGATAATTCGGACACGGATGATCAGGAGGGGGAGGAGGATGAGGAGGCGGAGGAAGAGGAGGAGGAGGAGGAGGAGGAGGAGGAGGAGGAGGAGGAGGAGGAGGAGGAGGAGGAGGGGGAGGGGGAGGTGGAGGAGCAGGTTGAGGCGCAGTGTGGCTGCCCGGCGGAGGAGGCGGCAGCGCCGCACGCACGGCGCGGCGGGGCCTGCCCTCCCCCCCCCCCCCCCGCCAGGCGGTGGCAGCAGCGGGCGGTGCTCGACACGGCGCTGCACACCAAGAAGGGCGCGGAGGCGACGTCGGGCTTGGCTCCCCCTCCCAGACATGGACCGATATCGCAAAACAAAAAAAGCACGACGGGCGGTTTTTGGTCATTTTCGGCCTCCGGGGGCCCTCGTCGGGCCCTGGGACCGTGAGAAAACGATTCAGGGTGAAAGACCGGCCCTGGGGAAAGGGTCCGGACTTCCGGGGACCGCGGATTATAAAAATCAGGACGTCGCATTTCTGGGCTCCCTCCACCACCCCTCGAGGCTCTTTCTTGTTTCCTCTTTGGGGTGTTGGCGACTCGGTTCAATTGCGCCGCTCCCGCGTGACACATTGGCTGAAGAAATGCCGCCGGCTGGAGGCGCATGCCCTGACCAGGGCAGAAAGCAAGGACAGATCTAGAAGGCCATCACAGCGAAAACCCATGCCAAGAAACACCCTGCTTGCCTCTAGGGTGCCCTGGGTTTCGATGGTTTTGCCGTGGAAATCGTGACGTCCCCGCACCAAAAGTCAATGGAGGTGGAGGGTTTTCGGGGATGGATTTCTCGTGGAAGGTTTCTTGTGGTCGAGCTCCTACTGTAGTTGAAGCGCGAGACAGAAGCTGCGACAGCTCGCTCTCTGGGGGGGGGGGCTTGTTTTCCCCTCGGAGGCCCACCCCCTCCCCCACCCCCCGCGCGGGCTCTTCCTTCCGACCCCTTCATTCAGTTTCGGCTTTTGTTGCCCAAGGCGCGCCTATCCAGAGTGCAGGTGGGCGGCAGGCCAATCCAGAGCTTCGGTGAGCGATGATTTGCGACTCCACCAATCCAGCATGCAGGTGGTCTGCAAACAAGGCGAGGGTAGTCAAGGAGGCGGGCGCGCGATGTATTCTCTGTTCCGTTCTGGAAGTCGCTGCGCAGGCATCGCCCGCCGAGCGTGGAGCACTGGTTCGGTCGCTTAAACCAAAAACGATGTTGATCTGTGTCGCCCTGGCTTACCAAATTTCACCATTGCTGAGCAGAGCCTAGCAGAGTTTAGCAGTGCTTTCTTGGCACCATGCTTGCCAGCGTCATGCTTGCCCGCGTCATGCTTATCAGCATGCTGGAGCAGACTGCCATGGAACACCAATATTCAGCAGAGCGCAGCGTCACTTAGCAGGGGCTACCAGGGCTCAGTTAGATTGGAAACAGCTACCAGGGCACCGCAAGGCTCAGCAGGGCTTAGCAAGACCTCAACAAAGCTCACCAAGCTTACCTGACCTGAGCAAAGCATACCAAGGCCACCTTACCTTAGTAAGGCTTACCACGCTCAGCGGTGCTTGGCAGAGCTTGCCAGGGCCCGGCAGAGCTCATCGGAGCTAAGAAGTGCGCGACAGGGCGCACCAGGACCCAGCAGGGCGTAGCAAAGCTAGCCAGGGAGGCCTTAGAAGGACTCGCGAAGGCCTAGCAACGCTTACCTGGCTTTAGCAAGACTCAGCAGGGTTTGGCACAACTCATCAGGGCTTCCGGCTCCGCATAGACTAGGAAAGCTGCGCGAGTCTCGCCAAGGCTGGGTAAAGTTCAGCACGGCCGCCCACGGCTTATCAAGATTGGCAGGGCCAAGCAGAGCGCGCCAGGGCATAGCAAAGCTCACCAGACCCAACCAGTTGTTCGCAGAGTGTACCAGGACTTAGCAGAGCATAGCAGAGCTTGCCAGGGCTTGCCAGCGATTAGCAGGCTCAGTAGGGCAAAACAACGTAGCACGGTGGACAATGCTTTTGCAGGGCCCACCAGGGCCCAGCAAGGTCTGCCAGATTTTAGCCGGGTTCAGCAAAGCTCAGCACGGACGCCAAGGTCTCGCAAGGATTTGCAGTGCTTCGCAAATCTTGCCGATGCTCAGCAGGGCTCAGATAAGCTTAGCCACGCCGACCAGGCTTGCCCAGCTCAGCTGGGCTTGGCGAGGCTTATTAAATTGCGCAGGGCTGAGCAAGGCTCACCAGGGCACAGCAAAACTTCCCAGGGCTCAGGGCTCAGTCGGGTTTAGCAGCGGTTGCCAGGACTTAACAGGGTTCTCCACGGCTTACAGCACGACTTTTCAAGTATCAGCAGGTCTCAGCAGAGTTCAGCGGGGGTTCCAGCTTCGCAAAGCTTAGCCGGGCTCGACAAAGCTTCGAAGCCTAGCCAAGGTGGAGCAAGGTTTCACATCATGGTCGATCAGGTTAGTGCCAATCGTTCACATTAGCGGCTGCAGTTGCCGCTCGCGAGAGAAGGAGGACGCGCCGAGACTTACCAGGGCTCAGCTGGGCGCACCAGGATTTTGCTGGGCTTAGCAGAGCTTGTCAGGTCTTTCCCGTGTATATCAGGCCCAGTGAGCTGGGCAAGGTTTCAAGGGCCCATGCAAGGCCGACCGAGCCCAGCTGGGGCTTGCAAGGCTTTCCAAGATGAGCAGGGTTTAGCAGGGCTCACCAGGGCATCGCAAAACTTACCCGGACTAAGCAAGGCGCGCCAGGAGTTAGCAGGGCTTCGCAGAGCCTGCCAGGGCCCGACAGTGCGCAGCTGAGCAGGTTTCCGCGTGGCTTGGCATGGCTAGGCAGCGCTTCGCAGATACTGCCAGAGGGTAGCAATGGGTGTCAGAACTTAGCGTGGCTTGGCAGAGCCCACGCAGTTTTGGATCGTCTGAGAGTTAGTTACAGGTTCTCTGCCAGGCGCGGCAGGGCTTTGCAAGGCTTAACCTGGATACATGCGCTTTGCAAGGCGCACCGAGCCCACCTTCGTTTAGCCAGCACGGCTTATCATGTTTCAGAGGCCTTAGCAGCGGACTCCAGCGCATTGGAATTCTTACCAGAGCTTGCCAGCTCTCAGCAGGGCGTGCTAGGACTTGGCAGTGCTTATCAGAGCTTGCCAAGGCTCAGCAATGCTTGGCTGGCTCAGCTGGGCTCAGCAAGGCCTGACCAAGGTTTAGCAGGTGTACAAGGTCTCACCAGGGCTTACCGATGCTAGCAGACCATGTCCCAGCAGGGCAAGGCATGTCTTCGCAGGGCTTAACAGGAGTCATCAAAGGGCCAGCAGGGCTTCATCTTCCGCAGGGTTTGGCAAATCTTGCTTCGGCGGAAGAAGGTCCAGCGCGGCTTCGCACGTCTTACTCGGCCCAGTTCGGCTTAGCAAGGTTTGCCAAGCTGCGCAGGGGACTGACAGAGCATGCCAGGACAGCACAGCGTGCCAAAGCTAACAAAGGTTCAGCAGGGCGTGCCAAGATTGAGCAGAGCGTACTAAAGCTTGCCAGGGCTTTGGAGTGTTTGCCGGGGCCTAGCAGGGCCCGGCAAGATTTACGAGGCCTCCTAAGGGCGCCTATCTAAGCCCAGCAAGGCTCACGAATATTTAGCGTGGCCTTGTTGGGCTCATCAAGGCGCAGCTCAGCGTGGCTCATGGCTTCCAATCGATTGACATGGCGCAGCAAGGCTTGCCGAGGCCGAGCAAGGCTCAGCAAGACTTACTCGCAAGGGCGACCCAGCTTGCCAAACTTAGCTGGGCTCGGCAGAGCGGAGCAGGGCTTGGCAGAGCTCACCAGTGCATAGCAAAGCTTACCAGGGCTTATCAGGGCGTGCCAGGACATAGCAGGGCTTTGCAGAGCTTGCCAGGGCATAGCAGTGACTAGCAGGGCTCAGTAGGGTTTTTAGCGCCGGCTACCAGGGTTTAGCATGGCGCAGCATGGCTTACAACGGCGTCGCAAGGCTTACCAAGTCTTGGCAGGGCCCAGCGAACTTCAGCAGTGTCTCAGGCTTCGCAAGGCTTAGCAGGGCGTTTGAGCAAATCTTAGCTCAGGGTGGCAAGGTTGAACACTGTCGTCGATCATGGGCCGCGAATCGCATTTTTTGTGCAGGGCGCAAGCTGATGCCAATTGTGCACGTTACCTTCTGGAGCTGCCGCTCGCGAGTGACGGGGGATACCTGATGTTTGCATCGATGTGAGGCACCCCGCAATAATATATATTCATATATATGTATATGAATTTGTTTATCTATATATACATATATATATATGTACATAATGTATAACGATAAAGCACTATATATGTATGTATGTATGTATGTATGTATGTATGTATGTATGTATATGTGTATGTATGTATGAAGAGCCCGTTCTGCGGTCGCCTGGAGGGGGGGGTGAAACTGGACCCCCCCCCTCCCCTACTTTTCCTCTCTCTTTTCCTCGGCTGGCGGCGGCGGCGGCGGGGGCGACGATGTCCTTTTCCGGGCCGGCGCTGGCGCCTGCGGCGACGGGCGGCGGCGGCGGGGAGCGTCGACGAGGACGATGGTGGTGGTGGTGGTGGTGGGTTGTGGTGGTGGCGGTGGCGGTGGTGGTGGTGGTGGCGGTGGTGGTGGTTGTGGTGGTGGTGGTGTGGTGGTTTGTTGTGGTGGTGGTGGTTGTGGTGGTGGGTGGTGGTGGTGGTGGTGTGGTGGTGGTTTGTGGTGGTGGTTTGTGGTGGTGGTGGTGGGTTGTGGTGGTGGTGGTGGTTTGGTGGTGGTGTGGTGGTGGTTTGTGGAAATGGTGGTGGTCGGTTGTGGTGGTGGCGGTGGTTTGTCGAGGTGGTGCTGGTGGTGGTGGTGGTGGCGGTGCTGGTGGTGGTGGTGTGGTGGTTTGTGGTGGTGGTGGGGGTTGTGCTGTGGTTGTGGCGGTGGTGGTGGTGATTGTGGCGGTGGTGGTGGTGGTGGGTTTTTGTGGTGGTGGTGGTGGTGATGGTGATTTGTGGTGGTGGTGGTTGTGGTGGTGGTGGCTGTGGTGGTGGTGGTTGTGTGGTGGGTTGGTGGTGGTGGTGGTGGTCGAAGGTTGAGGCGGTGGTGGTGGTGATAGTGGTGGTTGTGGTGGTGGTGGTTGTGGTGGTTATCGTCGCTGCGTCCCCGCCGTCGCCGGCGCCAGCGCCGGCGCTGCTGGCCGCCGCCAGCGCCGGCGCCGGCGCCAGGGGCAGGGTTGAACCCCACCCCCCCAAACCCCCCTCTTTGGGCTGCCTCTACTCATCGTCGCTGCGTCCTCGCCGTCGGCGCTGCTGGCGGCCGCCGGCGCGGGCGTCGGGGGGGGGTTCACACCCCTCCCTCCCGTTGGGAAGGGGGGGGGGGCTTGGGAAGGGGGGGGGGGGTCGGGAGGGGGGGGGTTTGGGGGGAGGGAGGTCCCCGGGTTTTGATCGGCGCCGAGCGTTGGGGGGGGCCACCCACCGGTTCGAAGCGCGCCGCCGAATGTTCCCAAGGCGAGCGCCCGTGAAACGCGTTTTTTTTTCTCGTATGTATACATAAATGTAAAATATAAGCACACCTACCTATATATATATATATATATAATATATATATATATATATATATTCCCGTAAGAAATCCCGTCTCGTCGGTGTGGACTTTTGGCGTTCGACGCCGTCGGGAGCCGTTCAAGCCCGGCCTGGCCTTGGCCGCCAGACTCAGGGTGACGGGGACCAGCTGAGACCAGGGTCTCCTTGTTGGCCCTCGGGCGGCCCCCTCGTTGCCGAGGGTGGACGCAACTAGGGAAACCCAGAGGAAGACAATGCACAAAAGCCGCCACCCTTGCCTCCTTTTCGCCTCCCGGGGCCTCCTGGGGGGCCTCCGTCGCCACCGCTGGGCTCGCCTCGAAATCCTGGCCAGCACGCACCCGTGGAGAGGTCCCGGGAGCAGCGGTATATCGATACCGGTTCGATAGACTTCGCCAGAGACTGGTTTTTTTTTGGATCCTCGAGCGAACTTTGGGCCGCCGTTGACTCAAAACCGGCCCTCCTCCGACAAAAAGGCCGTTGCGTTAAATGGGGCCGCCGTTGGTCAGGAGGAAAAGAAACACACAGACACAATTAATCCTCGATTCCCCAGAAAATATGGGAAGTGGGGGGGAAGACAGAAACCCAGAAAATATGAGAAAATGTGGGGAATCTTTTTATTTGTGTGTATTTATTTGTGTGTGTCCTGAGGCCCTTTCAGTTGTCTCAGCTGGGCCGTCGTTGTCTCCACCGGCCCGCGCGCGGCGTTTGTTGCCGCGGGCCGGCGCGGCGCGGAGCTGCCGCACAGGCAGGACGCTGGCACGGGGACCGCGTCGGGCTCACGAGGGGCTCAGGCTTTCGAGTCGTTCCGTAGGTTGAAGTCGGGCCTGTCCCCCCTACGGGGGGACAGTTCGACGAGAAGTGAGACATACCCCAAAAAATAAGAAAAAATGGTCCAAAGATAGTCCAGGGACTTTTTTTTTTAGTACTGTTTGACCTTTTTGGGGTATCTTTTTACCTAACAGCGTAGACTGATAGGTTTCTAGTTGACTCAAAAGAGCTCACAGATCACTCCACAGGGGGGTCCGGGCAGGCGTTGGGAGTTGCCGGCCGGCAGGGTGCCGGGCCTGTGCCGGGCTCGTTTTTCACCAACAGTCACACACTTCGTGCTCGTCGACCTCTCAGAACCCCATTCCCAGGCCATATTCTGAATAACCGGATGCAACAGTCACACACTTGGTGCTCCTTGACCTCCCAGAACGCCATTCCCGGGCCACATTCGGAATAGCCGGACGCAACAGTCATACAATTCCTCGTACTTGACACCCCAGAACTCCATTCCCGGGCCACATTCTGATTAACGGGATGCAACAGTCAGACATTTCGAGCTCTTTGGCATCCCAGAACCCCATTCCCAGGCCACATTCGGAATAACAGGATGCAAGAGTCACACACTTCGTGCTCCGAGACCTCCCAGAACGCCATTCCCAGGCTACATTTGGAAAAATCGCACACAACAGGTATACACGCCGGGCTATCTGGCTGTCTGGAACGGCAATCCCGGGAAACATTCAGAGTAATTACCTAACAGCGTAGACTGATAGGTTTCTAGTTGACTCAAAAGAGCTCACAGATCACTCCACAGGGGGGTCCGGGCAGGCGTTGGGAGTTGCCGGCCGGCAGGGTGCCGGGCCTGTGCCGGGCTCGTTTTTCACCAACAGTCACACACTTCGTGCTTTTCCATTTCCCAGAACTCCATTCCCGGGCCACATTCTGAATGCCCGGAGCCAACTGTACGCCACTTCGTGCACTTCGACTTCCCAGAACTCCATTCCCGGGCCACATTTTGGATGCCCGGAGCCAACTGTAGGCCACTTCGTGCTCTTCGACTTCCCAGAACTCCACTCCCGGGCCACATTCTGAATGCCCGAGCCAACTGTAGGCCACTTCGTGCTCTTCAAGTTCCCAGAACTCCAATCCCGTGCCACATATATTTGAGCCCGGAAGCCAACTGTATGCCATTTTCGTGGTCGTTTTTTTTTTTTTTTTCGAGTTCCCAGAACCTCCATTCCCGGCCAGATTTTGGATGCCGGGAACCACGATGCAACTTTCGTGGACTTTTCGAGTTCCCAGAACTCCATTCCTGGGCATGAATTTGAATGCCCGGACCAACTGTAGGCCCCTTCGTGTTCTTCGAGTTTCCCCAGAATTCCAGTTCCCCCCATGCCAACATTATGAAATGCTGAGGGAAGTTGAGGCTGAGGCTGAGGCAAGGCTGATGCTGAGGCAGGCTGAGGCTGAGGCTGAGGCTGAGGCTGAGGCTGAGGCTGATGCAGGCTGAGGCTGAGGCAGGCTGAGGCGGAGGCCGAGGCTGAAAGCAGGCTGAGGCTGAGGCTGAAGCAGGCTGAGGCTGATGCTGAGGCAGGCTGAGGCTGAGGCTGAGGCAGGCTGAGGCTGAGGCTGTGATTGCGACTGCCGTTGCCACTGCGACTGTCATCGCGAATGCGATTACGACTGCGAGAACAGCAGAATTCTACAACTGGATTCTCATTTGAATCTTAAGGGGAATGCTTCCAGATATGCTCCTACACATCGCTGTTAGGTTGCTTTGCCGGGATAATATTTTTCGTCGAAAATCCCCCTGTAGGGGGACACGCCCGACAGAACCTTAGGTTTGCCGGACTGATCCGCCACGGGGGGTCCGCTTGACGCTGCCATGGGGAGGTGGTGCGCTGGTTGCTTCTGACCGCAGGCCCTCTGGGTTTCAATTGGCGCTGATCCCAGACATTTGGTGCTCTGAAGTTTGTTCGATGCGTGGGCCCAAGAACTAACTTTTCGGCCCCTCCCCCATGGCGTGGGTCTTCTTCCGAGTATTTTGCTCCAGGTTCCCAAGTTCCGAAATTTGCCCCCTGAGGCCGAACATGGCAACAAACCGGCTGCCTCGATTTTCTTCGAGGCGCCGAATGTCTGTCATGGACGATCAAACCAGTCAGCTTAAACCTGACCTTGGGCGTTAGGTTTTCTAATGTGTTCCATCAATCTCGTTGCCCGCTTTGCTGTTGACCGTCTTGTGCGCTCTGATGGACGGCATTTCCGAGATCTATCTCACAGACGCCAGGACCAGCCACAAAGCTTGGGGGTTTCTGTGTCTTCTCGTTGACTGTGCTGCCAGGTCTGTGCTGACCAGTTCGCGCGCGCTCGAGTCTTGGTTGTGCCGCGTGGGCTGCGTGCGGATGCAACCGCGTCGCTATTTCGTGCAGAAGTGATCCACTCTCCTCGTTGCCTGGCCGATCGATTTGGGCGGGGATCAACTTGAGCGCCGATCAGGTGAAGGACCCCTACATCAGGGAGGCGCCCGAGCGATGATGGGGGGATGACTTGGAGGCGGAGGAGGAGGCGACTGAGTATGAGCAGCAGCCGCTCTGCGGCTGATCGGGGATTCATGTGTATGTCTACATGTCTATATATATATATATATATATATATATGTCGGCGGTGCGCCGTGGCACGAACCCCCCCCCCAGCACTACCGGGGGGTTTCGTGCACTACCGGGGGGTTTCGTGCAGCCCGCACCGGGTGCCGCCAGCGGCTTAGAACACCCCCCCCCCTTGCCGCTTTACCGGGGGGTTTCGTGCAGGCCGCACTGCGTCTACCTGGGCTCCCCCCCCCCCCTGTGGGAGTGGGGGGGTGGGAGTGGGGGGTGGGTTGGGGGGGGGCAGGGGGGCGGTTGGGAAGGGTGGCTCCCTGTCGAAGTGTGGCGTGTGCTCGCCTTGTGTTCTCTATTCGCGTCTGCTCGCCTTTGTTCCGCCGCAGCCTCTCGTATTGTGGCTCATGGCCACAATACGAGAGGCTGCGGCGCAACTCCCGAGAGCCGCTGTGGGGGGTCGACGGCACGGCCGCGTAGAGAAGAACAGTGCCGCCGTGTTCCGGCACGGCCCTGGGATACAATGCCGCCGCCGTGTTCGGGCCCGTCCTGGTAAGATTCGCGCGTCGGGGCTGGGTTTCACGCGTGCTGGGAGCGCGCCGCTTACGGAGGGGTTGCGTCCTTACCGGGGGGTTTCGTGCAGCCTACCAGAGGAGGTCGTGTTTACCGGGGGGGTTCGTGCAGGCTCGCACCGGGAATGGCGCCAGCTCGAAACCCCCCAGGAGAGATTACCGGGGGGGGGGGTTCGCTCCGCACCGGGCACCGCCGACATATATATATATATATATATATATATATACATACATACACATGTCCGTAAGGGCTTCGCCCCGTACCGCCGATCCCCTCTATCAGAATGGGATGTATCAGAGTCGCGTCGTATGCGTCTCGGCGCTGCATCGGCGCATATGGGCACATCATGCGGGGACGGATAGGAATCATCAGCGCGTATTGAGACGTTGGCGTTATCTTAGTGGCTCTCGTCCCATTCCGCCACCGTGTCTGGGTTGTGGGTCTGAGGCCTCTTGTATACGTGTTGGAGTGTCGTGGGGAGCCTCTTGGGGGCCTCTTGGAGGCGGTTTTGGGGGCCTCTTGGGGGCCTCCTGGGGCCTCGTGGTGTACCTTCTGGGCCTCTTGGAGGCCTCTTGGGCTCGTCTTGGGCGCCCTTTTCGTGCCTCTGGGGTGCCTCGTGGGGCCTCGTGGGGGCTTCTCGGGGCACGAATGTCGAATTTTCGGTCCGTGGTCCCCTGCTTGGGCCCCTCTTGGGGCCGTCTTTGGGCCCTCTTGGGCCGTCTTGGGGCCGCCTTGGAGGCCTCTTGGGCTGTCTTGGGGCGGTCTTGTGCGCTTCTTGAGCCGTCTTGGAGCGTTGGAAAGCCAAACATGCGAGACAGCCAAAATCCTTGAACAATTTTTGTGAAATCGACGATTGGGGCCTCTTGGGGCTCTCTCGGCAGGCCTCTTGGGGCGCTCTTGGGACCCTCGTGGGCCGGCTTGGAATCATCTTCGGGCGCCTTGGAGCACTCTTGGCCTTGGCAATGCGAAGATGGCATAATCTGCGAAGGGTTTATGGCCTCGGGGGCGCGAACGTGGGGTAATTCACGAGGGTTTGTTGGGGGGCGCGAGAATTGTTCAAGTTGCAAGGGTTCATGGCCTCGGGGACGCGAGGCACTGCGTAATTTGCGAGGGATATGGCCTCGGGGGCGCGAATCTCAAGCACTTTTTCGTGCCCCGCGCCCCCCCCCTAGGAATTCAGACCACGCGACTCGGGGGTGGTAACTTGCTGGTTTTTTGGGCTCCGCCCCCTCGCGCGGATTCCAACAAATTACGGTAGGAAGCAGGGAGCAGGATTGTAACACTGGAGATTTGAAATGGCATCTGGCGCAGGAAGCAGCAACCTAGTCCTACAGCCTGGTGGCCTCGCAAGGGGGCGCCTCCTCCTCCTCCTCCTCCTCCTCCTCCTCCTCCTTGCTTCCGACCCTTGCCTCCCCTCCTCCTCCTTACTCCATCCTCCTCAACCCCATCCTCCTCCCTCCTCTCCTCCTCCTCCTCCTACCTCCTCTCCCCTCCTACCCTCCTCCTCCTCCTCCTCTCCTCCTCTCCTCCTGCCTCCTCTCCCCACTCCTCCTCCTGCTCCTCCCGCCGTATGCCCCTACCCCTAGCCCCCTCCTCTTTCTCTTTTCGCTCCTCCTCCCCTTCGTGCCTCCTGCTCCCGCCTCCTGATTTTGCCTCATCCTCCTCCTCCTCCTTCTCCTCCTACTCCTTCACCTCCTCGTGGTCCTCCTCATTCTCCGCCTCCTCCTCCTCCTCCTCCTCCTCCTCCTCCTCCTCCTCCTCCTCATCATCATCAACTTCCTCCTGCTCCAACTGCTGGGGGCCTCCGTCGGCGAGCGATCCAGCAAACTTGCGAGGGCTCCGGACTGGGACACGCCCGGCGCGCTGGATGCGCGCGCCCCACTGCAATGCCCCCCGGAGGAGCGGCGGGGCCCGGATTTCTCGCGCGCCTGGGTCTTACCAGCCTGGAACATATCCCTATCCCTATGCTGGGCACCTCCTCATCACGAGGTTAATCTTAGGGGTTCCCTCATTTTTTGAAGGCGAATCCCTAAGATTGTCATCGCCGTTTGGCGTGTCAATCTTAGGGATAGGGATACGTTCGAGGCTGGTGAGGGTCGACTCTGCGATGCCTCGAGCGAGGGCCTCGGACTCGGACACGCCCAGCACGCACGGTGCGCCCGGCGCGCTCCCCGGAAGTAGTCCCCGGCGTTGCGGGGCCAGTCTTTCTCACGCGCCGGGGGTCCGATGTCTCGAGCGAGATCGGGATCCTCGAGACGGGGGTCAGTGCAGACGGGGGTCAGCCAGGGCGCCAGATCCTGCAGGATCCTGCGAAGACCTTCTCTGGCTGACCCGGGTTAGCGAGCCGCTCGTGGCCGCGAGGCGGCCGCGCATATTGGCTGACCCGGGTTTGCGAAGACCTGCGTTGCAGTTGTTCTTTCCCGCATTGCAGTTGTTGGTTTCCTGCTGACCCGGGTCTGGATTGACCCAGGTCAGAAGATCCCCGACGAGAGCCCCGGACTGGGACACGCCCAGCGCGCCCGGCGCGCTCCCCAGAAATGGTCCCTGGTGGCACGATGGGGCCTGGTTTTCTCACGCGCCGGGGGTTGGGATGGCGTGAGTTCCACAGAATTTTCTCCAAGGAGGGCAGCAAACACTCAGATCAGCACCAGGACCTCCGCGGTGCCCTTGGTTTCTTGGGTGTCGAGGTTTCTTGTGGTCGAGCTCCTAACTCTTGTGGTTGATGGATGAGGCGGAGAAAAAGGGGCGGGGCCGGGGGAGGACGAGGAGCAGGATCAGAGGAGCAGAAGTGAACGGGAAGGAGGAGATGGAAGAGGAGGGCGGGGAGGAGGAGGAGAATGAGGAGGAGAAGGAGGAAGAGGGATCAGAACAAACCTACATAGGATGCATGAATCCCTACTCCAGGGCCTCACAAAGACACATGTTGTGAAACAGAGCGGGCAAGGGGGTGGAGGAGGAGGAGGAGGAGGCGGAGGAGGAGGAGGAGGTGGACGAGGGGAACGAGGAGGAGGAGGCGGAGGAGGAGGAGGAGGCGGGTGAACAGAGATATCTCTGGGAGGAAGGGGGTGTTCCTGGAGGGCCCCTTCGGGCCATCCCTGGGGCCCGCATGAGGGCGAGGGGAGGAGGAGGAGGACGAGGAGGAGGAGGAAGGGAGGAGGAGGAGGAGGAGGATTAGGAGGAGGACGACGACGACAACTAGGAAGAGAAGTAACAGGAAAAGGTCGACGGTCCGGGCTAGGACGAGCAGGAGGAGAAGGAGGAGGAGAAGAAGGAGGAGGAGGAGGAGGAGGAGGGGGAGGAGGAGGGGGAGGAGGAGGACACCGAGGACGAGGGCAGCGCCCTGAACATCGCCCCTGGGAGCCCTCTTGGGACCCTCTGGGGGGATCTTGGGGCCTCTTGTGGCAGCCTTGGGCCGTCTTGGGGCCATCGTGGGGCTCTATTTGGGCTCTCTTGGGTTGGGAGCCTTGTGAGGCGTCCTGGGGCCGCTTGCTTTGTAGGGCGTCGATCAAATGAGGGGGGGTCCTCGATGTCCGCCTCCCCCCCTGGGGTAATCAACGTCGCATCTTGGGGCGCCCTTGGTCCGCTCTTGGGCGCTCTCGGGGCCGTCTGGAAGGGACGCCTCTTGGGCCCCTCGTGGACCTCTTGTGGGCAATATTGGGACCGCCTTGAGGTCTAAAAAGCGCATCGGGAGCGAACAGCCGAGAAGGCAGAACGTATGTGTATTCCCCTAGCTTGTTGAAGGATGTCTGCTTTTTTCCCCCAACCATCCTGTGGTGTTGAGTCCTCTTTTTGGAAAAAAAGAAAGACGGCAGCCTCGCGCGTCTCCCACCTCCTCTCCTCCTCCCCCCTCCCTTCTCCCCCTCCTTGCCTCTCTCTGCCCTCCGCATGTCTGTGTGTTGGTACACCTCTAACACGTTTCGCGGCCCCATAGGGAACTCCACCGAAGGCGTCAGTGGGAGGGTTCGCATGGCACCATCGCCCAATTTCGGCACACCCCTTTCACGTTTCGCAACCCCATAGGGACTTCCACCTAAGTCTCCAGTGGGAGGGGTTGCATGGCACCACCACCCCAATGCAGCACACCCCTCACACGCTTCGCGGCCCCATAGGGAGCCCCACCGAAGGCGCCAGTGGGAGGGTTCGCATGGCATCACCGCCCCATTTCGGCACAGCCCTCACATGCTTGGTGGCTCCATAGGGGGTCTCCACCTAAGGCCCAAGTGGGAGGGTTCGAGTGTCACCACCACCTCATTTCGTCACACCCTGCACGCACTTCGTGGCCAAATGGTGAGCTCCCCCGCAGGCTCCAGTGGGAGGGTTCGCATGGCACCACCGCCCAATTTCGGCGCACCCCTCAGACGCTTCGTGGCCCCATAGGTCGGAGGTAGATAGAACACCTGCCCTGACACGTCGATTAGCGAATTGGCCGTTTTCGGTTCGCGAGAGGACGTCGCGGCTCCACCGCAGGTCCCAGTGGGATGGTTCGCATGGCACCATCGCTCCATTTCGGCACACCCCGCACACGCTTCGTGGCCACATGGGAAGCTCCGCCGAAGGCCCCAGTGGCTGCGCTCGCATGGCACCATCGCACCCATTTCGGCACACCCCTCACACGTTCCGTGGCCCCATAGGGAGCTCCACCGAGGGCCTCAGCGGCTGCGTTCGCATGACACCATCGCGCCCATTTCGGCACACTCTTCACACGGTTCGCGACCCGATAGGACCACCGGGTGCCCAAGTGGTTGCGCTCGCATGGCACCATCGCACCCATTTTGGCGCACCGCTCACACGCTTCTTGGCCCCGTAGGGAGCTCCACCTAATGCCACAGCGGTTTCGTTCGCATAGCGCCACCGCGCCCGTTTCGGCACATCTCCACACGCTCCGAGGCCCCATATGGGGGCTCCACCGACGGCCTCAGCGAATGCACTCGCATGGCGCTGCCGCACCCATTTCGACATTCCCCTCACACGCGTTGGCATGCGCCCACCGCGCCGATTCGGGTACACCTTAGGCGATGCTTAAGAAAACTTAAATTTTCGGCCAGAGTCTCGATTATTCTTAATGTTTCAATGTAAATCCCAAGATTTGAAG